AGAAATTACATGTTTAAACGCCTGTAGAAACACAGGGATTTTATCAATCGAGATAATTTTTTCGCTGAAGTCATTAGGGAAACTAGTAGATTTTATTAAAGGGAAAAAATTTGGGGGGTTAGTGGCACTTTAAAAGTGGGTTCCTATTTTAATGATGAACAAAGAACACCGCTTTTAATGTTCAATTTGATGAAACAAGTTTTTTTAATTCAGTAGGTGCTGATGGTAAACCACAAACTGTAAGCAACTACGCTGCTATTCCTGTCAATGTCATTGTCCAACTGCACAACCTGATGTATGCTCAAGGGATGACATTGGAGGGTGCCATCACCTTCACACGAGGAAGTCTTGTCCCAGATGGCTATCAACCATACCCATTCAATAAGGACACACAAGAAACCATGCTGGATAAACTGTGCCCCATTGTGGCTACCTCTGTCTACCGGCATGCCATCCAGGGGTTTAAACAAGAAGGTGTTGACTTCACACAGCATCTATATATCCCTGATTTAGACCCCACTACTCATGAGGAGTGGCATGATCGGGGTGATCATAACCACATTTACAAGTGGATGGCACAGCATGTGCGAAATGGTGGTTACACAATGTTGAACTACGAAGCTTTTGACGATGTCTTGAAAGATCCCAGTGGTGGTCTTGCCCACACAGCTCTCACTGGCAAGCAAAAGCAGAGTTTGAAAGATGCTGAAAGGCTTCTGTCGTACCATGTGGTACATTCATTGGAAAGACACGGTCATGTCAGAGGCTGAATATGTGAAAGTACTTGTACAGTGACATAAAGCATTAGATGGGCGTGGCTTGTCTCAGCTTACCAGAAGCAAGTACAATTACCAGATGCTGGCATTGATCCTTGATGAGTGGATGCCTTGGCATCACACAAACTATGATTTCTCTACAATAGACATCAGCAGGTAACTGAAAAGACAGTTAGATGATGTGGTTTAACTGTGCAGTTGTCTAGGACAAGTGGACTTTGTGGTCAGACAAGTAAAATTGTTATTAACAGAGAGCCAAACAGAAGGCCTAAACCAGAGTATGATTTTGTTTTATGTTGGTTTCATGAATAGTTAATAAGCTATCCTTAAGGGAGGGGAAGGGGGAGTGTCCTGAGCAAGCAAAATTTGAGAAATAATGGTATACCTAAAAAACAAATGAGTTGAGTTTACTCAGAGTAATGGCAACATATGTCTGGATTTAATCAGTCTTGGAAAGTCTTTCCTTAAAATAGGATATAGTAACATGAAAACAGCATTATCCACTCACTGAAATTAATGTGTACATATATTTGGACCAATTTGCAGGCCTGTTGAAAACATTTGTGGCTTTTCACGTGAGACTGTAATTGAAGTCACAACCAACATCGAGAGCTAGGAACAGATGTTACAGAACAATGTTACTGGATATCCTGAGCACTGTCGTGCTGGTGTTACTGATGACTTGGAAACATTTTTTCCCATTACTCACAGAGACATTGGAAATGTCTTCGTTCTAAAGCAGTTTAAAGAGTACTGGCCAAAGGGAGTAAGGTAACTATACATTATAAATACATGTAGATATATAAACTAGACTTAAATGGAAGCCAGCCAATCTAGGCAGGGTTTCAGAGAGGTTCTCAAGGCAGGGTGCCAATAAAGAATTCTTGGTCAATTCCTACTGCTCTCACCAAATCACTGTAAGTTTTCTGTTAATTTGTCAGGTCATGTAGCTGACCTTGTTGGGTTTTTGGCCAGAGATCCCTTGCTTATCTGGAACAGTGCAAGGGTTGCATAAATACTATTTTGAAAACAGAAACTTTTATAACTACATGCATGTATTGCTTGTTAATTAAATTTACTTTGGACTACACAGTGCATTAGTATTTGAGATATTCTTGAAACAAGTTTCTTCTAAATGGTGGTATTTTTGGACAAACTGAATTGCTTGGGATGGGATAATACTCCTCTACAGACAACCCCTGAGCATGCTGTTAGGCTACCATAATAGTCTACTGGTGCCACATTAATTTTTCAAGGTGGAAAGATACTGTAAGTGTCAAGTGATGTGTTAAGAACTCAACTCAATGACCCCATTCAGGGCTAGAACCAGAACCCACCTGACTGGAATCAAACTTGATCACCACAAGGCCACCACATCACCCAAAATCTCAGTCACCCCTATCACAGCAAGAACAATGTTGATGAATTGTGAATTACATTCACTCCACCATGTAAATTACCAGGATACTGTTTTTAAAATTAAGCCCATAGGGTTTTCTTGTTTTATTTAGGGAATTCAGCAAGAGAATGGATGGTGACCTTCCATTTTACTACTGGACCATAAATGAAAGGTACTCAGAAGAAGAACTCCCCTCCTTCGATGTCTGTCCTTAAATTCATGAGGACCAGGAACTGAGGAGCCACCCTGTCGGTCTGCACAGACTAGTCGTTAACCAAAGAGAGGATAGTTCAATCTTTTTTGCTGGCCATGCACACCTGCCAGCAAGGCATAAGAAAACCATTCGACAATCGTTCCATAAGCTTGAAGATATTTTACTAAATCCACTGTAAAATGTCCTGTTGAGGAGGGAAATGTCACCCTTATTTGTGAAGTTTTTACTTTCACACTGAATTACACAATTTATTGGACAATTCCATTTTAT